CGTCAGAAAAATGTGTTAGGTTTGCTAACTTCTTAGACTTTGTGTTAAACAACACTTTTAACAAAAAAGCCTTACAAGCCTAGGCTAGGCTTGACCTTTGTGATCTTGATTGTTTAAATCTAGATCTAGAAGTAGCGAAGTAGAACACTCTATTACTACTAGACTTAGAGTCTAGTGCAATTTATTTAATCTGCAACCTGCAACTAGATTACAACTAAAATCTTAATCTAGATTCGAGATTTTAGTGAAGGCAGAGTCCAAGAAAAAGCCATCAACAAATACACGTGGTGATGAGTAAAGAGAGACCAAAACAATCTCTCTTCGATCTCTCTATGGCGACTATCACGGCACATCACTTCGTCTAACACATGTTCCGGTAAATACCTATAACTGTATTGAAGTTTGACCCATGTAAAAGGTTGGGATGTGGCAGACGATTCGGGATGTGGCTGCGAGTTGATGAAAGGGAAAAGCGCAGGGCGGAGCCAACTTCTTATGTTAATGATCTAAATTGTGTCGCTGGGGGCATAAAAACACTTTCATTCAGATTTTTTTTAAAGGAAAACAACACGTATGAAAACTTCTGTCCACTGCAGCATTTCAGATAGGTTCTTACACTTAAAAACAACTCAGGAGGAAGGCATTTTTACTAATTGACTTGCCTATCTCGGAATAAAACCTTCTTTCTTATCTAGATTTCTGTGCGTGAGCGCAGGGCAGGTAGACCATAGTTCCGCGAAACAACATACTGTGCTGGAACAACATAAGGGGAACTGCTGCTTTTTCTTTCTTTATCCTTACTATTGTCATTTTTTCCTCTACTTCTTTTGTACGTTTGTCAATCTTGTGTGAACTGCTATTTTCGGGGTGCCTTCGAAGCAGACTTTGGATTGTTTAGGCTAGAGATGTGAGCAGAGTAAGCCTGATTCCCCGTTTGAACTTCTATGTTGATATCTACCCTTTTGCGGTCATATGACCTTATGCAGTTGCAAGCGCCGTAAAACCTTACTGAAACTAACATTTCTTTGGTGCTGGGAAACTGGACGACTGTGTTAAATGGATCCTCATGTAAAGGGGAGTAATCTAAAAGATATCGTGGTATAACTGTTCTAAAACTTTGTTTACGTCCCTTAAAATGTTGGCGAAACGTACATTTTATAATATCTTCTTCTTCTTCTTCTTCTTCTTCTTCTTCTTCTTCTTCTTCTTCTTCTTCTTCTTCTTCTTCTTCTTCTTCTTCTTCTTCTTCTTCTTCTTC